CAACCTCATCCACATAAATAAATTCATGGCCAATTACATGGGCATCCATCTCCAATACTCTCTGTAACAGACAAAAGGATATACACATGAGTAAATATGGTATGTCTGAAGTACTAGAAGTAGTGTTGCATACATACCTCTACAAAGTCATGTCGCAGATTCTTGACTCTGTCAGAGTTTCTCTCAAATGGCACCTTGTAAAGTTGTTTCATCGTCACTTGGTGCCGTTGGAGGATGCGTTGTATGGTCAACAGGCTTACAGCATTGATGTTGTTAAATATGGTGTCATTATTCAAGATATGCTCTCTTATCTCTCGAATCCTAATTGCATTGTTGGCCAAAACCATATTTATAATTGCAGTCTCTTGTACATCTGTAAACAAGCGTCCTCGTCCTCCATGATGTCTTTGCCTTTCCACTCTGTACAGAATTCGAACACAGTATGTGTTCAGCATAGGAACTGTAAACAATGTACAAAAAAATGTAGTACAGCATGATAACCAACCTCATTCATTCAATGCAGTGCAGTAAATGGATGGCTTAGAGTTACAAATGTTTATCCAATACTATGCAGTCATACGCATTTTACAGTACATTACTGTAATGCTAAAATACCTGTTCTCATTTCTGAAGGTTCGAATTATGGACGCCACTGTAAATCGACTCAAGTTGGGCTGGACTCTCAATCCAGCCTCTCTCATGGTCAAACCGTGGTTGATCACATGATCAACAAGTGTTGCCCTAATCCAGGGGCGGTGTGTTCATTAGGGCGATATGGGCGACGCACTGCCAAACGGGAAAAGGAAGGGTTTTTTTTCTAATCAATTATATCACGGCAACAGTAGTTATCAGTGTTCTAATCTAGACGTCTGATCTGCCACTAAATGTCCAATCAGGCTAAAGTCGTGCTTCAAATGTCCCCGCCCGTTTTGGGGCGATTTCAGTCAGGTTGAAAATCGCCCAGAAGTCTCTCATAGCCTCTAATGTAAAATCAATTTTTTTCAAATATCAGAGCTTTCAATACAATCTCTATGGGTTTCTGAGGGCTTGCACTTACGCGCTTTCGTCATACGTAACATAACCATGAACGTAACTAAGAAAAGAGCGGGTAGCCTCATCAATCAATTCACTACTACTGTCAAAATGGCTAGCCTTCAGTGCAACTCGATTGTCTCTTTGAAAGAAGTTCCTTTTTGTCGGCGAACAAATCAAGATAAATTGGCAACGAAACAATTAGGACCTCCCAGACCAAATTTAATAATTCAACAGGTTTCTACTAAGCAGAGTCGTGAACACTGTCTACGAGAATCGAGACGACCTCATAGAATGTTTTGAAGCCATTCGGACGGGTTCATTGGGTTCATTTGACCAGCCCACCGTGAGAGAGGCATCTGGCTACGTGAGGATGCTACATGATGAAGATTTTATTTTTTTCATGCGGCTTTTTCACAAAATCATGCCCCACGTCGACATTCTGTACCAGAAGCTACAGAAGAAGGACATCGATGCTGTCTTTATCAAACGTGCCCTCGACAGCTTCACAAGCAGTGTGCAGGCCATAAGGTAAGATTAAACAATATCATTCGATCTTTCTCAAAGCAGAGCTTTATTTGAAAATGTATGCATGAAAGGAGACTGCATTTGTGTTTGAAATTACATTATTCTCATTATATATGGCCAGTGGTGTAATCTAGCTTATTTTATATACTATGTGTACTGTACAGTGGTGCTCATAAGTGTATGAACACATTCTAAAGTTGACTAAAAAGAGGAATACAAAAATAAAAAAAATCATCTTTTGGAAATTGATCTTAATGACTTAATTAAAAAAGTTGGAAAATCCAACCTTTAAGGACACCAATTTTCTTTTCTTTTTTATTCCTCTTTTTAGTCAACTTTAGCATGGGATCATAAGCTTATGAGCACCACTGTATACTGTGCTGAACATCCAGGCTATGTGAGACACAAAGGCTAACTTAAACACTAAAGACTTTATGCATCCCTGCCCATTTTAAGTGGAACTGAAGTATTTGTACTATACATGGATACATTGCATATACCTGTGCATCACATAGACAACAGTACTGTACAAAGCCAACAAACACATTGGTCTGTTTGCCTTCAGGGACTCCTCTCAACAGCAGCTGCAAGAAGCAACAGGAGCCAAAAGACCCAGAACAGCTTTGAGAGAAGAGGAGAAGCAGAGGCTGTCTGAAGAGGTCTGCAACACCATCCTGGATCACACCAAAGAAAGGTTCTCTTTCTCTGGCCACCTTGTGAGTGCTACCTTACTGCAAGCAGACATGTTTGAAAGGTACTGCCATTCATTTCCTGATGAGGCTCTGAATGCCACTGTGAATGCATACCCCATGCTGAGCAAGGCAAAGCTCAAGACAGAACTATCTCTGATCTATGAGAATCCTGAATTCAAGGGTGGCTGTGGTGCACTGGCACTGTACCAGGTTCTCATGAGCTACAACCTCCAGGAGACGTTCTCTGAGACTGTGACTCTGTTGAACATCCTCATAAGTACTCCCATGACAACAGCTGAAGCTGAGAGATGTTTCTCAACTTTGACACGAGTTAAGACATTCCTGCGAAATTCAATGGGCCAGGAACGTCTGAATGCACTGGCCATGCTTTCCATGGAGAGGGAACTAGTCCTCAGCATGCCTGATTTCAATGAGAAAGTCATTGAACGCTTTGCTGTATTGAAACAGAGAAGAGAACAGTTTCAGTACAAGTAATGTAGCCTCTCTCTTTCTTTGTCCCTCCCTGTCTGTCTCTTTAACACACACACGCCCAAATCAGTTCACAGTTGATGTTGTTTAAAATAGTTATTTTTCATTTAAAAAAAATAATCTGTTCATGTTCATTTTTACAAATCTATACAATTGGCCAGAATATGGTTGTTCATATTTACACATCTATACAATTGGCCAGAATATGGTTGTTCATTTTTACAAAGCCATACAGATAGCTGTGTTTACCTTTTCTAGAAATTACTTTCAAATTCTGTTTTCAGGCAAAATGTCTATCACTGTTCATTTTCACAAATCTATACAAGAGGGCAGAATATGGAAGTCTATAAAAATGTCTTATTACCAATAACTTGCATCAATGTTTTCAGTAGCCTCTATCAAAAGCTCCTGCTTGCTTGTTGTGAATTATGCTCAGGTGCACATATTTCCAATTCAACCATGAGGCAAAAAATGTGGTAAAAGCTCTTGTTGATCCTGCAATCTGAACAAATACCAAGATGCTGTATTTTCAGCTGATATTTCATTTGTTTATGGAAATGCATATTGTTTATGCAGTGTTGAGGAATGTGAAAGAACACCCTTGATTATTTTTACTGTGATAACTTATTTTGATTTTGTAAGCCAACACTTTTGAGATCAGTCAATAAATGCTTCTGGTATTGACTTATATGCTGCCCCTGTCTTCATGTTGTTGCTGGAAATATCTTTTTTAAAATGTGTGTAGGTCACCTAAATCATCAGAAAAATTGCCCCCCCTGAGAATTTTTTCAGGAGCCGCCACTGCCCTAATCTCATCAGAGATGGCTCTCCTTCCTTCTCTTCTTTGCCCTCATCCTCATCCTCTTCTTCCTCTTCCTCCTACTCCTCGTCCTCCTCCTCTTCCAACTCTTCGTCTTTGAATTTGTCCTCGTTGTTGTCCCCTGCCTCTCCTTCCTACTCCTCTTGCTCTCTGTCCATTGTTGGCATCCATTGTTCAAAACAGGTAATCTGACCTTTGACCTATTTATAGGCCTATACTACAGTAAAGCAGTGATTGGTTAGTGATCAGTTAAGCAATTAGTGTTTGCACATGTGAGGAGTGTGTGTGTGACCTGGTGAATAAGTGTAGCATTTTGATTGGTTGTGTTTGGAAAAGGAAAGCAAGTCACTTCCTGTTAGATTTCTGTGTTTTAGGTAGAGAATTGTGTGTAGTGTTTTGAAAAAAAGTGTTTTATGCAATTGACAACTGAGTCAAAGGCTGAGAAATAGCTTATGGTTTTGGAGATTTGGTGTGTAGTTTTGCACTTTGAGTGAGAGGTTTCAAAAATCGTGTGACATGAAAAGATTTTGTGTGTAAGCAGTTGGAAAAAACTGTAATATGTTCAGCACGCCTAACATTTACATTACTGCATTCACTGTGTTCAAAATAAAATACTAACTTGCATTCATGTGGACATGTAGGCCTAGAGAAATATGCAGTTCAAGAAATGTAAGTGAATTTCCAAAAGTTTATTTTTCAGTAATCATCAAATGCAAGAAAATATACTCTTAGAGAAATAATAAATATACAATATTTTTTTATAAACAAAATGCACAATTTACAAAAACTTCCACTGTGTGTGCCTCGTCCTATGTCTATAAGATATTAGACCTTATTACAGAGTTATAGCTGTTATTTTTGTCATTAGTATGTCTATTCTCATCGTTAATATCAATATTATTAATAATAATAACATTTAATTTAAGGTGGTTTTAGACACCTCACTCTAGACTCTTCTGAGAGTTCCAGACCTTGTGCTATACTCATTTTTCTATCATATTTCTGTCATATTTTTACAACTGACAACTTCATAATATGGATGCCGTATAGTATCTTCCATTAGTTCTCTGCTAGACCGTTCATCCATTTTGTCATGGTTAAAAGCTATTCCACACAGTGTGAGTTTAAATGACTTTTCACAGACTGATGCTGCTCCCTTCACAGAAGCCTGAAGACCGGACAGGTCTGTATCAGAGGTCCTTGTGTGTCTGTCTGTTGTCCCCAACCCTCATATCCATGTCCTGTGACTGTCCACATCTTCTAATGATCTGTGTGTGTTCCAAGCCCATAGCAGTTAATATCCACCTCCAGTTCCCGTTTGCAGAATCTTTATATGTAGATATTTGTATGTTCTAGGGTTATGGCGCATAACAATGCTCACTCAGGTATGGAGACAGTCAGTGTCAGTGTGTGTATGTGGAGAGAGCTCCTCCGTGTGGTCAGGAGGTGAACAGCAGGTATGTGATAAGCAATGTCAGCAGGTAGGTGAGGGCGTGGGTGGTGCCAGTGTTGGGCTTGGCTGAGCTGGGGGTGGGAAGGGCAGAGGAGGAAGCCTTACTGGGGGGCTCCATGGGGGGGTAGAGGTCTGTCCTCCTGCGCTGCTCCTGGTGGGTTAGGGGGGGCTCCACCGTCACATAGCCATTGGTTATCCTCACATTAGGCTGAGGAGGTGTGGTGCTGGAGGGTGAGAAAACCAGATCAGTCAGGTTAACAGGAACATTGCGGTTGTTTCTGCCAGATATTGTTAATGTCTCTCGCTGTGTGAGTGTTCAACCTGTCCTATGAGTGTGCAGTTTCACTGTCTGCTGCTCTTCATTTTACAATACTCTTTGTTGCCATTGGATGGTTTCAATAAAGAGCTAGAGATACTGTGTGTGTTTGTTCTCCTCTCACCCATCACCGATGCGGACCCACAGGTCACTGAAGAGGCGGGGGCGGCCGTGACCGCGGTGGGCCTTCCGGGGGCGCTTGTGTCTCCCAAACTCCTCCAGCTGGCTCAGGCTGTCTGGCAGCAGCATGTGGGGCAGCTCCTCATCCTCCAGCCCCTCCAGTCCATCCAGGCCATCATCCAGGTCTGAGGGACTGGTCACCCAGTCCGAGGGAGAGGCTGTACCCGCATCGGAGCCCCCATCGCTGGTGTTGTCTGTTGGTTTTCTGTGGTACAAAGAACTATGCTTATTGAATATCATAGCATTGTGGTATAGACCTGGATGTATGTTCACTCATCAATAGCATAGATGAAAGATAACAGAATAATATTATTGAGTAGTTTATGTATATTATGTAACATCTTTTAGGGAGGTTCTCCTTATAGGCTGTGTGTGAATGTGTAACGGTGTGTGGTGACCACAATGGTGCTCTCTAGCCTACCTATAGGGTCCAAAGGGCTTTGAACTTGAAACAGGGACACGATGCCCTCTGTGCTTGTAAAGAGTTTACTGAGTGTCTAAATCCGCCATGAGCCACAAGGAAGGAAGCTGTAACCCCATGTGGAGACTTGACTGAGTGAGATCTACTCCGACCACCCTGACAACTCAATACCTTAGAAATTCATCCTTACCATATTAATTTGCTTGAAGTAGTCACGGATGTAACACGGTCAGATAGGTGAAAGTAAGGGTTCCGTTACATTGCTTTGATCAACATGAGAGCAGGAAAGGAGGACGTGAGGATACATTTCAAAAGCATTGGAACCTGGCCCTACACTAATCCACAGGGAGTTCATTCCTTACCTGTCATCTATGCCACTTCCTTCCTTATCTGATTACCGGTAGTTGCCTGTAGGCACAGATCTAGGATCAGAAAACCCCAAAATTGGCCTTAACATTTAGGAGCAACTTCTGCCTACTATGAATATGAAGGGTCATATTGCTTTCCTGTCAGTAAACACCCTGGAGGTTTGACATCATAATGAGGCCCCAGGTCCAGACCACACAGTGTTCAGCTCTGTGTTAGCCAGTATTACACTGTCTACAGATGCTGGCTGCTGTGGGCTATAGCCGCTCTACACAGAGTCACTTTGCTTTGGTTCCTTTTGTCATAATCTCTCTATTGAGCAGAAAACACATGATGCCTCTGGGTGCAGGCCCAGTTTTGAGGTTTACACTTCATAAACACCCAAAAAGCTTCCTGCCACATTGTGTTGTCGTGTCACCTCATATCAGATATCACAAAGTGTTTTGAGGGGTTTTGTGTGTTTTTTCCCGACCACAATCAGTCAGTCCACTTGTCAGCTTTTAAAGCAGAACTGCTGTGGCCTGCAGCACGGCTGAGGCTGGGCCTGCTCTGTGTATGAGCCAGGGAGGAATGGTTTGGTTACAGCTGTAATTTGCAGTGAAGGAAGTGAGTTTGTAAAAGCAGTGGATGGATGAGATGTTTTACTGTAGCTCTGCTTTATGTGATTTCCCCTGTTGTTCCTCATTTGTCAATTTTCACTCTTGTTCACGTGAGTGTTGTAACCATTAGCGCTGCTATTTTAATGGGCCCAACCTGCACGGACCTTAGTTCAACCCCCCAAGTCCTGCTGCTGCTGCCTGCCTGCAGGGTGATAGGGAGCATGTGCCAGCGTGCAGGGGTGTTCAGGGGTGGGAGAGTTCACGGGGGAGACTGGGGGCTGGTTTCCTTGAGGAGATGCAGCACCCCTCTCCAGGAGGCAGATGATTGAGGCCTTTCAGTGTCAAAAGGCTGCTGGGAGTGGGCTGGCCCAGCTTTCACAGCTGGCGGGGGAATCAAAGGATTCCTACATAGCTGAGCTCTGGTTGTAATGGTGTACTACATGTACTGAAGCATGTGTGCTACATTTAGCACATCTATGTGGGGTCAATTAGTACATGTAATGTGTTTCTGCTCTGGAGTGAATATAGTTGATGTGGGATTGTAAATTTATGTGGTAAAATCTGAGACTGTGTGTTTGTGAATGTTCATATGAATTAGTGCCCAATGCCCATACACGTGTCAATGTGTGTGTGTATGTGTTTGGGTTGTGGCCCTGCTGTGTGGGCGGGGTGTGTCTCTGTACTCACTCTGTGATTGGTTCCTGGTAGTGTGATGGTATGTGCACCACCTCGTAGCCCTCCTGTCTCAGGATGTCCAACACACTGTGGTTCCCCAGGAAGTGACCTAACAGGAAACACAACAGGTCAGTTCACATCTCAGATAAGGCTCTACATGAAAATAACGTTTTCCTGATCAGGCCTTGTGGTCCAGAAAATGTCTTCTCCTTAGTCATGATGACAGACGGTTACAAGATAGTCTCTAGTCTGAAACAGAGGTCTGAAGAGACAGGGAAGCCCTTAAGGTTCCAACACACCTATAGTGTGTGCCTGCCAGGAGTACGAGCCGACTGCAAACCAATTTTACATGTAGAATCTCGCGAAAATGTCGGTAGTCAGACGCCAACAGCGCGCTGAACGATCGGTAGATGAATGGGAGATCCACATACGATGCAATGTGTGCAACCCTTTATGGTGGCAGACGGGCCATCCTTAGTTCCTAACATATATTGGCCCTTGATCTTTCTCTGCACTTGTTCCTGTGTAATGACCCTTATTGACCCCATTTTGTAGTGCACTCTGCTCCTGGCCCCCTTCCCCAAACCCCCTGTATGTGTGTGATTCCTTCATTCTGACATCAAACAGACAGGCCCCAGCCACACACTGATGAAAGCAGTTTTATTCCTCCCTACCGTGAATAATCCCAGGTGTCACTCAACCCAGCAATAAGGCCTAATGCTCTCTGACATCACCGCCTCAGCACGCTCTCACAGGTTATTAACAGCACGCTGGCAATCTTCAAGGGCCCTAGCTTGCCTGCTTTTCCGACCCTCTATTTTATTATTATGATTTTTCTGATCATTCCTGAGGGGAGAAAAAGCGGCGCTATACTTTCTTGGCGGCGGAGTTCAAAGGCTGCGTGGGGATTGGCAGGGAAGTGAGGAGAGGCTACCGCCGAGTGTCGGTCAGATCAGACGGCCAGATTATAGCACTCTCCCTCCACCACACCAGGCCCATCCAGCGAAGAGAGGGGAGGGGGGGACAGACACCCTATTGAGGGCCCCCGTCTACTCCTCTCCTCTATTCTCATTTCTCCTCTCCCATCCTCTCCTCTATTCATTTCTCTCCTCTTGCCTTCTCTCTTCCCTCTCCTCTTCTACTCTCCACTCCTCCTTTCTACTCCTCTCCTCCTCTCTCCTATCCTCTCCTGCCCCCTCCACAGCTGAAGGCTGCACCCAGAATGGCAGCTTCAATGACCATCATGTCTTCGTCCAGCAGATATTTCATTAATTTCAGCTATGAAGCCCTTTTACGGTCAGTGAGAAAAGTCCTGTGCATTCCGTCTGTGAGGTCAAGCTGTCTGTTTGATGTCTTGTTTATTTTCTCACTGTTAGATGTCATACACAAACAGTCTGAACAGAGGGCTTACAGAGGCATACGGTTTCCACAGGCCAGCAGAGGAAGTAATTTTTCTGTGTGTGTCTGTGTCTGTGTGTGTACACATGTGCGTGTGTGTGAACGTGCCTGCATGTGTGTGTATGTTCATCTCCCTTACCAGACACCACAGAGATTAGGACTGTAGCCAGGAACACACACCTGCTACAGGGGGCCAAGTGCACCCTCCCCTCTGTCTGGTCTGACCTGTCGCTCAGAGTGAATGTGTGAATTCACGCAGACTGTTTCTGACTCAAGAGACCATTAGAGGAGGTAGAAAATACATTTCTGATATCTTGCATTCCTCTCTCTTTCTTGATTTGTGAGGGCGCTTTCACATATCCCCTGTATGATCCGGAGCATTTGCTACCCTGATCCAGCTATAAAGCACGTGTGAAACCCAAACAAACCCTGGCTAAGATGAATCCTGGACCTGCGTGAGTAAAGGTTCCAAAATCCAGGACCAGAGTACCAGGTATTGTGACACGGCAGCGCAAGTTGCATGGAACTTTTTGTCCGTTGTAAACAAGCTAGCTTCCTAACGCAATGTAGAATGTGCGTCTCGCAAATCGCCACCCTGAAACGGTTATTTTCATGTCTTGTGAAAGTAAAACATATTCTGTAGAATTTTCTCAAACGATCCAGGAAACCGAACCAGGTTACCAAATTTCATAAGTGAAAAAGCCCTCAATCCCTCACCCACACCCAAAACACCCATACACAAACAAAGAAACACACCTGCACCACACACCAACACACACATTTAGTAGCCACACACACCCCTCTAAAAGTAGGAGGAGATCATTCTCCTCTGTAAACAGACTACTGTGGGCTCTGCTCTGTGTGTGTCCCTCTTCGGCCAGTGTGTTTATTTGGTGACCACGCTGAGGATTTAGACCGCTGAGGATTTAGACCACTGAGGATTTCGACCACTGTAAACAAAGTGGTGCTAAGAAGCCGTAAAAGAGAGGCAGGCAGCTCAGAGGCCAACCCCAAAACAAATCCCTTATGGGCTTAATGAGAGAGAGGTCCTGGCTTCTCCTGGATCTAAGAGCTCTTTCCTGCCCTGCCTGCCTGCTGTTGTGCTACTGGTCAGTGTCACGCCCTGGCTCTGGGGACTATGTTATGTTGAGCCAGGGTATGTAAGTCTATGTTTGTATATCTATGTGGGCCTGAGTGACTCCCAATCAGAGGCAACGAGTGTCAGCTGGTTGTCTCTGATTGGGAGCCATATTTAACTATCGGTCTTTTCACTTTGTGTTGTGGTTTCTTGTTCCGTTAAGGTTTGTTCGTGTTGTAACCTTAGACGTCACGCATCGTTGGTTATTGTTTTGATCGTGTTGATCAGTTAATAAATATATATTATGTTCACCTTCAACGCTGCGCATTGGTCCTCTCTCGTAGACGATCGTGACAGAAGAAACCACCAGAACTGGACCAAGCAGCCTAGTGAGGAGCAGAGTAGGTGGACTTGGCAACAGTGGAGGCAGAGCTTCGACTGGGTCAAGCCGAATGAGGAGCTGAATGACGGAGATTGGAAGCAGAGGAGCGAGAGGTGGGCGAGAATTATCGAGGCCTGGCCCACGGGGAAGAGAGACTCCCAGAATTTTTTTAGGGGGGGGCTCACGACGTCGGACCAGCAGGAGGCCGCGATAGAGCGGCCCAGTGGGTTGCCAGAGGAGGCCGCCAGGTTACGGGGGCCACTGGTCGAAGAGGGGATGGAGGATGTAGCGGCACGGCGAGAGGTACTGGCGTGTGTTGCCAGTCCGGTCCGGCCCGTTCCAGATCCCGGTGTAGGGCCAGTGGTGTGTGTCCCCAGTACGGTCCGGTCTATTCCTGCTCCCCGCACCAAGTCAGGGGTGCGCATCGTCAGCCCGGTTCGGCCCGTTCCTACTCCACGCACCAAGCCTACGGTGTGCGTCGACAGCCCAGCCCGGCCCGTTCCTGCTCTCCGCACCAAGTCTGTGGTGCGCGTCGCCAGCCCAGTCCGGCCCATCCAAGCTCCCCGCACCAAGCCAGTGGTGTGCGTCGTCAGTCCGGCACGGCCCGTGCCTGCTCTCCGCACCAAGTCTGTGGTGCGTTTCGTCAGCCCTGTCCGGCCCGTTCCTGCTCTCCGCACCAAGTCTGTGGTGCGCGTCGCCAGCCCAGTCCGGCCCATCCAAGCTCCCCGCACCAAGTCAGTGGTGCGCGTCGTCAGCCCGGTCCGGCTCATTCCTGCTCCCCGCACCAAGTCAGGGGTGCGCTTCGTCAGCCCGGTCCGGCCCGTTCCTGCTCCCCGCCCCAAGTCAGTGGTGTGCGTCGTCAGCCTGGTAAGGCCCGTTCCTCCTCCACGCACCAAGCCAGGGGTGCGCGTCGTCAGTCCAGCACAACCCGTGCCTGGGTCATGTCCGGAGCCGGATCCGCCGCCGAGGCGGAGTGCCCACCCGGTCCCTCCCCTGTTGTGGTTGTTTGGCGCGGTCGGAGTCCGCGCCTTTGGGGGGGGGTACTGTCACGCCCTGGCTCTGGGGACTATGTTATGTTGAGCCAGGGTATGTAAGTCTATGTTTGTATATCTATGTGGGCCTGAGTGACTCCCAATCAGAGGCAACGAGTGTCAGCTGGTTGTCTCTGATTGGGAGCCATATTTAACTATCGGTCTTTTCACTTTGTGTTGTGGTTTCTTGTTCCGTTAAGGTTTGTTCGTGTTGTAGCCTTAGACGTCACGCATCGTTGGTTATTGTTTTGATCGTGTTGATCAGTTAATAAATATATATTATGTTCACCTTCAACGCTGCGCATTGGTCCTCTCTCGTAGACGATCGTGACAGTCATGGTAGACTGGAAAAGCCTGGGCTACAAACACAGTGCCTCCCTCCCTTCCAGGGAGTTCCTCCTCAATACAGAGTTAGTTAATTAGCTACAGTAGCTTCCCCTCTCTCCCTTCCAAAATATGCTCCCTCATTCTTTCTCTTTCTATCTCTCTCCTAATCTCTCTGTATCTATTTTACTCTGTCTTTCTCTTTCTCTCTCTCTCTCCCCATCCCTCTCTCCTCTATAGTAGCATGTGTCTGGTTGCCACCCAGGCTGAGGGGTTTGTGGGCCTGACTCCAGCCGTGTCAGCACCTCATTACTCACACGGCCTGTCCGCGCTTGCTACCCTCCCTCCCTCCCTCCCTCCCTCCCTCCATCCCTTTCTCCATTCCTCTACCCATCCCTGCCTCTACCCATCCCTGCCTCTACCCATCCCTGCCTCTACCCATCCCTGCACCCTGTCAATATAATCAAGTGACGCTGGATGAGGAGAGGATATAGAGGTAATCCCTATAACAGGGGTCAGCAACAGGCGGCCCGCGGGCCAAAACTGCCTGTGAGTCTTTTGCCCCCCCAAAGTTTTTTGTAAAATAAATATATATTTTTTGGGCTTAGTTGTGGTCAATTTGCAGCTCTGACAAAAATCGGCCCGCAGCTGAATCTAGTTGCTTACCCCTGTCATATACAACAAGCTCTCATAGTCTCACGTCAGAACTAGATCCATGTTTCTCAAACGTCAAATTTTGAAGTCTCTCTCTCTCTCTCTCTCTCTCGTCTCCTCTCTCTCTCTCTCTCTCTCTCTCTCTCTCTCTCTCTCTCTCTCTCTCTCTCTCTCTCTCCTCCCTCTCTCTCTCTCTCTCTCCCTCTCTCCTCTCTCTCTCTCTCTCTCTACTCTCTCTCTCTCTCCCTCATCCTCCTCTCTCCCCGGGAACTAAGCCTCTCTCTCTCCTGACCATCTCTTCTCTCCCCTCCCTCCCTCCCGGGTGGACCTAAGCACTTATGACCATGCTAGGACACCTGCCTGATGACTCCTTGGCTGTCCACCTGGTCGTGCTGCTGCTCCAGTTTCAAACTGTTCTGGCATGCAGCTATGGAACCCTTGACCTGTTTCACTGGACGTGCTACCTTGTCCCAGACCTGCTGTTTTTGACTCTCTCTTTCTCTCTCTCTCTCTCTACCGCACCTGCTGTCTCGACCTCTGAATGCTGGTCATCTATGAACATTTGAAGTTCTTGAAGAACAATCTGGCCTTAATGGACATGTAGTCTCCTGAGTGGCGCAGTGGTCTAAGGCACTGCATCGCAGTGCTAGCTGTGCCACTAGAGATCCTGGTTCAAATCCAGGCTCTGTCGCAGCCGGCCGTGACCGGGAGACTCATGGGCGGCGCACAATTGGTCCAGGGGAGGGAATGGCTGGCTGGCAGGGATGTAGCTCAGTTGATAGAGCATGGCGTTTGCAACGCCAGGGTTGTGGGTTCAATTCCCACGGGGGGCCAGTATGAAAAAAATAGAGTCGCTCTGGATAAGAGCGTCTGTTAAATGACGTAAATGTAAAATAATCTCCACCCGGCACAGCCAGAAGCGGACTGGCCACCCCTCAGAGCCTGTTCCTGCCTTTCTAGGGAGTTTTTCCTAGTCGCCTTGCTTCTACATCTGCATTGTTTGCTGTTTGGGGTTTTAGGCTGGGTTTCTGTATAGCACTTTGTGACATCTGCTGATGTAAAAAGGGCTTTATAAATACATTTTATTTGATTTAAGGGTTGGGATAGGCTTAAAACAAAAATCTCAAAAACAACTTTCTATTGATGGATTTGAACATGCAACCTTTGGCACCAGAGGCAGATGCTAGCAACGCCTTAGCAAAACCGAAACCTACTTGAAGGTAACAGCTCTCACTGTTGTCCCTAGTGGCCGGTTTCCATGTCATCTCCCGACGTCCTCAGACATGGATGGACGTCGAATACTGACTTGTATCACAGGGTGACCTGGCTGGTCCTATAATATAGAGCGTGATGAGGATAGGGACAGGTATAAGGAGAGAGGGAGGCTGTAACCAGCGTCAGA